CATTGTGGTCTGAGAAGCTGCTTGATACAATTTTGCTCTTTTTGAATTTATTGAGGCTCTTTTTATATCTGATCTATTCTGGGGAATGTTCCATGTACACTTGAGAAAAAAGTTTATCCTGCAGCTTTTGGGTGGAATGTTCCATAGATATCTGTTAAGTCCATTTGATCTAACATATTGTTCATTGCCTCTGTTTCCTTATTTATTGATCTATTGATGTTAATGGTGTGTTAAAGTCTTCCTATAATGAATGTGTTATAATCTATTTCTCCCTTTAATTCTGTTAGTATTTGTTTTACATATTTAGGTTCTCCTTTTTTGGGTGCATAGATATTTATAATGGTTATTTCCTCTTGTTGGACTGCCCCCGTTATCATTATGTAATGTCCTTCTTTGTCTCTTGTTACTTTCTTTGTTTTAAAGTCTGTGTTATCTAAGTGCTGCTACTCCTGCTTTTTTCTCCCTATTTTTTTGCATAAACAATCTTTTTCCATCCGTTCACTTTTAGTCTGTGTATGTTTCTGGGTCTAAAATGAGTCTCTTATAGGCAGCAATATAGATGGGCCTTGTTTCTTTATCCATCTGCCACTCTGTGACTTTGTATTGGGGCATTCAGTCCCTTTACATTTAAGGTGATTATTGATAGATACGTACTCATTGCCATTTTATTAATTGTTTTCTGGCTGTTTTTTATAGCTCCTCTCTTTCTTTTTTCCTCTCTTGCACTCTTCTCTTGTTATTGATGGTTTTCTTTAGTGTTGTGATTGGATTTCTCTTAAAAAAATTTTTCTTGTATTGATCTATTGTAGACCAAAGTTCAAAGATAGCTTCCTTACTGTATAACAGTCTATGTGAAATTGCTGATTACTCTATTTAAAACACAATCTAAAGGTAGTTTTTTTTCTTCTTCTTCCTCCTTCTCCACACTTTTTATATTAGATGTCATAATCTGTACTTTTTGTGTATCCCATGACTGATTTTGTGTATAGTTGATTTTGCTTCTTTTGTTTTAATTTCAGACTTGCTTGGTAATTAATTGTTCTACCTTAACTGTGGGTTTATTTTCACTGGTGAAAGCCTTAAGGACATTTCCATCTACAGCACAACCTTTAACATATCCTGTAAGGCTGGCTTAGTAAGTGGTAAATTCCTTCAACTTTTGCTTATCTGGAAATTGTCTAATCCTGCTTCAAATTTAAGTGATAATCTTGCTGTATAGAGGATTCTTGGTTCAAGTTCCTTCTGTTTCAGTACATTAAATATATCATACCATTCCTTTCTGGCCTGTAAAGTTTCTGCTTTGAAGTCTGCTGATAGCCTGATGGAGTTTCCTTTATAAGTAATGTTTTTTTCTCTCTCTGGCTGCTTTCCATACTCTATCCTTACCCTTGATCTTTGCAATTTTAATTATTATATGTCTTGGTGTTGTCTTCCTGGGGTTCCTTATGTTAGGGGTTCTCTGAGCTTCCATGATCTGAGTGTCTGTTTCCTTCTCCAAATTGGGCAAGATTCCAACAATTATTCTTCAAAGAGACTTTCTACCCCTTTGTCTCTCTTTTCTCCTTCTGGTACCCTGCTAAGCGAATATTGTTTCATTTGGATTGGTCACATAGTGCTCTCATCATTCTTTCATTCCTAGAAATCATTTTCCTGTTTGTTCCTCAGCTTTGTTGTGTTCCTGTTTTCTAATTTCCATCTCATTGAGTGTCTCTTCTGCCTGCACTAATCTACTTTTAAATCCCTGCATTCTATGCTTCATTTCAGATACTGTGTTCTTCATTCAGCTCTGAGTGGCTTTTTCAGGTCTTCTACCTCTCCTTTGATAGTCCTCTTTCTGGTGTCCTGTTGTGCAGTTTTCTTTGGAACATAGTCTGCTGCATCCTCATTTTGTCAGGGTTTCTGTGTTTCTTCCTTTGTATTAGATGTCTCTGCTATGTTTCCTGGTGTATAGAGTAATAGCTTTGTGAAGAACACGTTTTATGGTGTCCAAAGCTCAAGACTCTTTACTCTCCAGTGCCTGGTTCTCCTTTGCTGTGGAGTCCCAGTTGCTGTTGGTGGGCAATGGGTGGGATTGCCTTTCTGTCTCTCTGTTGGCAGTCTCAGTTGGCCCTTTGTTATCAGAGCAGTGGTTTTCCTACTTGGTTCTTTGTGGGTGGAGTCACCCTCTGCCTGCCCTGCAGGGATCATATGGCTTCTGGCTTAACAGGGTGAGTGGGGTGGTCACATGGGGATTTGCACAATGGCATAGTGCAAGGCTTGTGGCAGTGGCAAGTCGCCTGGTTACTGAGCATGCAGGTGCTGGGTGATGGCCATGAACCACAGGGTGGGAGGGCCCAGGGGCACGCAGAAGCACTTGCGAGTTGTGCACTGGAAGGGTGTATGGGCTTTTGAAGGCAGCACAATGTGCTTGGTAGGAGGCTCCACTGCAGCAGAGGTAGCTAGTTGAGCTGCAGCATGTGGTGCAGGTGCTTCCTTGCAGCAGTGAGGTGTGCAGCACTCGGGTTGGCCAACCTGGGAAGGAAAGAGCAGTGGAGTGGCTCCCACTGGCACCTTCCAAGTTGGGCTGAAATGGGGCTGTTAGAGTCTCCCTCTGCCCAACAGTCAGCAACATCTGACACTGCTGGGCTGAGTGGAAAGGTGCTTTAGCAGTGCGCAGGAAAGCCCCTAGTGTGTATTTCCTAACATGAGAATTGTGTAGCTTGGTGTGCAGAGCTCCTGAGGACCTGTTCCCTCCCTGCTCCATTTCTCTTCCTCCTGCCTGTGAGCCGGAATGGGGGAAGGGCTTGGGTTCCACTTGATCACAGCTCTGCCACTTTATCCTTTTCTGTGGAATCCTTTTTCTTCCCCAGGTGTAGGTGGTCTGCTCTGCAATCTTCAGTGGGTTTCAGGTTTAGTTGTATTTGTTCTAGTTATTTCCTTGGTGTGTGTGTGGGTGGAGTTTTCCACCTTGCCTTCATACTCCACTATCTTGAGCCTCTATTTTGAATTTCTTGAAATCCCAGTCATGCCCCCTATTTAGATCTTCTCAGAATCTGATTCTCCAAACCTGACTGGTATCTGCAGAATTTTGACAGTACAAATCATACTGCTTCCAAGAAATTTCCAAAAATATGATTATCATGGTGGTGCAGATGGTAATGACATTGATGATGACTATGATAATAGACCCAACATTATTTTACTGTTTACTAAAGTACCAAGGAGTTAACTGTATTAAGTATCTTCATACCCATTTCTTTCCTTCTTGTCCTGTGGCTCAGCTATCCATGCTCCCACCAAAGGCCTGTCTTCCACTTGCACACTAGACTCTATCGTGTACCCATTTGAGGCCATTATTGCTCTAGCAGTTCCCTTTTCTTTCCTTCATTTTCTTTTCCATCAGCATAAAGATATATTGTTTCACTTTTATCTTTAAAAGAAAAAAGGTTTTTTTAGACTCTATTCTGTCTAGCTATAGCCCATTTTTGTTTCTCTTTATAGTGGAAGTTTTAAGAAAAGAATTTTCTGTACTCACTGTCTTCATTTATTTCATCTCATTTAGTATTGAATTTACCCAATTCAGGAATCATTTTCCCATCTCTACCCGAAGAACCTTTGCCCAGGTCACCAGTGAATTCTACTTTATTTAATTTTTGTTAACCTCTCAGTGCCATTTGACATAGTTAAGCACTCTCCCTATTCTTGAACCATTTTGTCATTTTGACCACTGTCTTGGTTTTCTTTTTTATCTTCTTTGCTGGTTTTCTTCATGTCTGTGACCTTTAATCAAACATAGATTGCCTCCAAAATGTAGTTCTTAGGCTTCTTTTCTCTTTGTACTCGTCTCATGGTTTAAATGTTGTCTAATTCAAAAATGGATACCTATTCTCTGATTACAGGATTGTTTCTCTTCCTGCCTACTTGATATCTCTGTATGAAGGTCTAATTGGAGTCTCAAACTTTACATGTCCAAAGTTGAATTCTTGATTTTTCTGCCCTAAATTCTGTTCTTCCTACAGTTTTCCTCATCTCAATAAGTCAATAAATAGCACAGTAAACACAACCTCCATTCTTCCATTTGCTCAGACAAAATGCCTTAAGTATTTTGGTATACCAAATTTCCTTGACAGTTCTTTGTCTCGCAACCACATCCAATCCAGCAGCAGATCTATAGGTTCTATTTTCAAAATATCGAGTTATTTGACCCCTTCTCACCACCACTAAGAACTCTGGTTTAGTAGTAACTTTAATAGTCAAAGTTTTGACAGTTTGAAAGGATTAATTGAAAATACAAGGGGTAGGTGGAAAAAGATAATTTCAGGAAAAAGGGCTATATAGTCAAAGATGTGAATAGGTCGAAGAGATTGATAAACTCAAGAGATAGGAGTAGAATTAGGTTATGGCTAGAGCAAAGGTGTGGGGTTCAAGAATGCTGTAAGATTTAGTTAGAAACCTGGAACCTGGATTCTTAGTATCTAGACTTTTTCCTTATGCTGCTTGTTCTCAGCCTTTATTCTGCCCCAACAGTAGGGCATTTGCTGAATCTTAAAGGTGGTGCCCTGTTGTAGTGGTCTCCATATGTCGGTAGAAGAATTAGACCCTCCCCAGGTCTCCCAAAGTGGTCAGATATACTCTCCTGTCCCTGACCGAACCTACACACAATGCAATTTCACACAAACCCTTGTTTGAGAATCCCTGTGTAGGGAATGGGCCTCTAGATCATGTTTTTTAAAAACAGTACTATAGTAACAATTGGTGTTTTGGAACAGTAACTCTGGTGGCATTCTGCAGGAGTTGGTTAATTGTTTTCCTGTTGGGTGCTGAAGGAAAGAGATGTTCATGCATCTTGGGGAATCATTCCCTGACCATTTCAATAGCGAGAGGGGAGATAGTAGAAAGAGATGAATAAGAAGAATGTTTGTTTTTGTTTGTTAGTTTTTTAAATTGTAGTCCAGATGCAGCACCATTAGTATTCTTACAGTGGTTGACTAAATAGCTAAATGCTTCTTTTCATTCTTTAGGAACGCCTTTCTACCCAAGTCAGCCAGTGTATCCGTCAGCACCTATTATAGTGCCTACGCAGCAGCAGCCCCCTCCAGCCAAGAGAGAGAAAAAAACGGTAAGAGATCTTTATTAATTTTTCTTATTCAAAACTGAATGTCCATTCATCAAATAATTTTACCCACAGCTATAAACATCATTCACAAATAATTGTTATTTTTTTGTTCCTCCCTTATATCTGTGATCACCACCAGAACTGGAGGATTTGTATGGATATTTGTGTGCAGCCTAGAGAATATGCAAGTATCATTTGCTTAGTACCAGTTTTCAACATGCACTGAGCTAGGTATGCTAAATGGCAGCATACCCTCTAGCTGTAGAATGGGGAGGGTTTAGTCTGCTACGGTCTCACTAAATGAGGAATTTGAGCTCTTTTCTCACACCCTGATTTTTCTTTAACTAATTCTAATCAGCTCTATGTCCAAAAATTAACTGACCAGGGGAAATTAGCACAAGAGAAAAGGAGCAAAGTATTAAGGACAATAGAAAAATCCTTCCTGTGAAACAGATTTATTTTAAGAAACAGAGAGCAGAATTTAGAAAATGTATTCTAATTGTTTTTAAGAAGTTACAGGGGTTTTGCCACTGTCTCATAAGATGATGTGAATAGGTCGAAGAGATTGATAAACTCAAGAGATAGGAGTAGAATTAGGTTATGGCTAGAGCAAAGGTGTGGGGTTCAAGAATGCTGTAAGATTTAGTTAGAAACCTGGAACCTGGATTCTTAGTATCTAGACTTTTTCCTTATGCTGCTTGTTCTCAGCCTTTATTCTGCCCCAACAGTAGGGCATTTGCTGAATCTTAAAGGTGGTGCCCTGTTGTAGTGGTCTCCATATGTCGGTAGAAGAATTAGACCCTCCCCAGGTCTCCCAAAGTGGTCAGATATACTCTCCTGTCCCTGACCGAACCTACACACAATGCAATTTCACACAAACCCTTGTTTGAGAATCCCTGTGTAGGGAATGGGCCTCTAGATCATGTTTTTTAAAAACAGTACTATAGTAACAATTGGTGTTTTGGAACAGTAACTCTGGTGGCATTCTGCAGGAGTTGGTTAATTGTTTTCCTGTTGGGTGCTGAAGGAAAGAGATGTTCATGCATCTTGGGGAATCATTCCCTGACCATTTCAATAGCGAGAGGGGAGATAGTAGAAAGAGATGAATAAGAAGAATGTTTGTTTTTGTTTGTTAGTTTTTTAAATTGTAGTCCAGATGCAGCACCATTAGTATTCTTACAGTGGTTGACTAAATAGCTAAATGCTTCTTTTCATTCTTTAGGAACGCCTTTCTACCCAAGTCAGCCAGTGTATCCGTCAGCACCTATTATAGTGCCTACGCAGCAGCAGCCCCCTCCAGCCAAGAGAGAGAAAAAAACGGTAAGAGATCTTTATTAATTTTTCTTATTCAAAACTGAATGTCCATTCATCAAATAATTTTACCCACAGCTATAAACATCATTCACAAATAATTGTTATTTTTTTGTTCCTCCCTTATATCTGTGATCACCACCAGAACTGGAGGATTTGTATGGATATTTGTGTGCAGCCTAGAGAATATGCAAGTATCATTTGCTTAGTACCAGTTTTCAACATGCACTGAGCTAGGTATGCTAAATGGCAGCATACCCTCTAGCTGTAGAATGGGGAGGGTTTAGTCTGCTACGGTCTCACTAAATGAGGAATTTGAGCTCTTTTCTCACACCCTGATTTTTCTTTAACTAATTCTAATCAGCTCTATGTCCAAAAATTAACTGACCAGGGGAAATTAGCACAAGAGAAAAGGAGCAAAGTATTAAGGACAATAGAAAAATCCTTCCTGTGAAACAGATTTATTTTAAGAAACAGAGAGCAGAATTTAGAAAATGTATTCTAATTGTTTTTAAGAAGTTACAGGGGTTTTGCCACTGTCTCATAAGACAGGCCAAAGAGAATCAGGGTGCAGGTATTATAAAAGTCACATTGCTGAACATTTTATAGACAGGTGGCTTACCTCAGACCACGCAAAATGTGTGATGTTTATAAGAGACACCCCATTCAGACACAGGTAAGTGAGGAGGGAGTGACATCATAGCAATACCCTTGAAAGTAACTGTTTTAATACATTTATGATATTCAAAATCTTGGTTCTTTATTACCAGAAACAAATGACTTGTGCACACGTAATAAATGAGACATGCCAGTGTGTCATGACACTATAGTTGAGAAACTAAGTTTTAGAAATGTTTACACAACATGGTAAATGTTGGACTTCAACACTCAGAATGCAGAAAACTTTCAAGAAGGTAATGACAATGGAAGACGATAATACTAGATGGTACTGAAGAAGAAAGTTGAACAAATGAATTAGAAGCAATACTTAAAATTTAGTAGAAACAAATTTCCACTTCTGGAAAAATAGCTGCTATTAGGAATTTTATTGAAGAGCTATTCCCCAAAAAGCTTACAGATCCAGATGTGTTTAGTAATGAATTCTTTGAAATGTTCAAGAAGCCTGGGCTATCTTGACTAAACTCTGAAGATAATAACAAGCAGAGGGGACCTTTATGTCTCAGTACTGTTGATGGAAGGCTAGACCTAGATACTCCATCTCCATTATAGTACCGTCTCCAGTGACATTTATAAGCATAGGTAGACTTTAAAAGAATTAAGAGAAGAACATACATGTTATTCTGCATCTTGCATCTTTTCACTTACCAGTACATATTGATGATAATTTCATATCAGTAAATATAGATCTGTCTCATTCTTTCTACTGGCCATTCAGTATTTAATTGTGAGATACAGCATAATTTTTAAATTACTATGTTCTTTATTGGTCTTTCTATTTCTTTGCTGATTAAAAACCCCACTATTGCAGTGAGCATCCTTTCATACATGTGTAAGGTTATCTACTACATAAATTCGTGTTCCTAAACCCTAGGCTATATACATTTTTAATTTTGTTAGAGAACATTTAAAGCCTTTAAAACTCTACTCTATAGAGTAACTTCCATATTTTTAAAATTACTTTATGAATCTTGTTTTATGGTAAGCATTGTAAATAAAATCAATTTGGCAGTGCTTATAAGACAAGTACTAACTAACAGTTTGCCTTTTTAACCTAGAAATTGATCCAACTAGGTCTCATTTTAGCTTGTTATTCTGATTAGTTCATGTCAGAGCTAATGGCCTGAATTTCTTTGAATGACCCCATATGGTTCTGTAATTGAAGCCAAATGTGGTGATTATCAACTTTGATATTTGATAGGTTTCACAGTTAGAACTTTTAATACATAATATGCCTGTAAATCAACTACATAGACATGTATCTGTAAATATGCCATTTTATTGTAACTGTAGATAAGAATTCGGGATCCAAACCAGGGAGGTAAAGACATAACAGAGGAGATTATGTCTGGAGGTGGCAGCAGAAATCCTACCCCACCCATAGGGAGACCCACATCTACACCTACTCCTCCTCAGGTGAGACAGAGTCGGGTGTGGTGGGTATGGTGTGTATTTGTGCACTAACCTCTGCTGAACTCTTCTTTTTTCTACACTTCCCATTCTTTCCATTTCCATCAGTTGTCTCATAGCCTCAAATATCTGATACTTAAGCAGACATGTTTCTTCACAAATTGTTGTAACTTCCAAATTTTTATTGGTAATATTTTTGTGTGTTGTCTTCACATTTAGAGCATAGCTGCTGCCACTCTTCCTAATGAACTATTGCATGATACCAAAAGGAGCTGCATTCCTATGGAAACCTCATCAATAAATGAGTATTTTGTTTTCAGTATGGAGCCTTAGGAATTAAATGCTGCACACTATGTTAACAAAAACATTAAAGTTGGGAATTTAAACATTTTTACTGAACAGTATTGCTTGAGATGATTGCCTGTGTTATTCAGAGCATATTTAGATGTATTATAAATATACCTCTTACCTTTTAGACTATATAAATGAACTTCTTGGTGTCTTCTTTAATTATTTACAAGGGTTATTAGTAAATCTGTCAGGTAAGCTTTTTGTTCCTGTTGCAGAATATAGTTACTGTGGTTTTCTAAGAGTTCACTTTCTTACTTTTAGAAATCAAGCCATTCCAGGAGGAGCTGGATTTAGTAAGCCACAATAAAGAAGGGAATTCCCCAAATTTGATAGGATTTTGATTTTGTCACTCCATCATTTTTGATAAACCATTCAGAGGAGATGAATGATTTTTAAATCTTCAAAATATCTGAAGTGAGAACCCAGTATATAAAACAGATAATACCAAGTTTATTAAAGAGTAGGGGGATGCTTGCTTCCCCCTCTTGTAGATGGATGGTGGGGTTGTCCTCAACACCAGTTTACAAGTAAGTAATATGAATGATCAGATATATGGCATTTCAGAATAATAGACTGTTGATTTGATTTCAGTAGTATAGTTTTAAAAAGTTCTTTAAAAATGTTAAAAATTGAGGTCACTAATAGATAGCTGAGTTTAGAGCCCCTTGAAAATCTCTGAATTTTGAGTAAGCCTAAAACTTGGGCCTTTGTTTAATGGCATGTTTCACCTGGAAATGATGATGGTTTCTGGCTAATATTTATCTCAGTCTTCTGCCATCTAGATAAATATAATATGTGACCATCCAAATATGTGAACTCTGAGGTCATATTAATGACTGTTAATAGAACTTGTCACCATTCTCCATTATTTCCCTGGGATATACCAAGTTCGGAATGACTAAGGAGGCCTTATATTTAATTTAGTCCTGGAAGTGAACATGGGACAAGCAATAGTTACACATTTAAATTATTTACTTATGTGCTCTGTTAGGTGGGGGTGTGCTATAGCAAAAATTTGGGATTGGTTGATCTGGGCAGTTTAATTTTGGTCTATGTTTTCCCACATTGATTAAAATACTATTACTGTCAACCCATCCATATATTGTTGACTTGTGTTTAAATTCTCAAGTTGAACATGTATTAATATATATTTTTGCACTTAAATTCCCTATGGGCTTAGTTTGTTTTTCTGTAATCTTACAAAGATTAAACTCACCCTCTTCAGGTTATCTGTCTGTCCTTAGTCACAGAAATCCTTTTTTCTTTGGCTTTCCCCAAGGACCACAGCCTAAATACAAGTATATATGTTTGTGCAGCCATAAAGCATATTAAATGTATGCTTTCAGTTGATAAAGGCCACATGAATCAATAATTAGAATGTTGGTAGTACTTTTTGAAGTGTAATATCACAAAGCATCAGTTTATTGGGTAATTTACAGTCTTTTGTCTTCCCAAATGCATGAAATTAATGGAATGAACAAATAGTTTTACAACAGAGACATACAAACTAGAAATACTCCATTTTCATCTTAAGGAAAACAATAGCATAAGTATGATGATGGCAACTGATACTTGGCTTCAGTTTCTGGAAATCCACAGAACGTGGTACACATAGAGCAGGAGAGGATCCCTGGTTAAGGGTGGAAGCCATTGTTGCTTAATTGTTGTATTGCGTAAAAATGTTAACCCAGTGTTTAAAAAAGAAGCTACAGATGCCTGTTTATGTAAGAAATCTCAAGTTTTAAATGTTCACAACTAATTCTACTAACAAATAGCACTATGCCAGCCAAAGAAAACCCATTAGATTTAATCTGAAGGCTGCTACTTTGCAACTTTGGCCTAATTTTAGATAGATCCTGAACCACATTGTAGTTAGTAAGACTGGAGATGTGATAACCTTCTGCTCAGAATTTATGACTGAACAGAATATACCGATTTGCTTTTGGCTTTATGGAGTACCTGCTTTCAGTGACAGTTGCATGTTCTGTGAATAGCAAAGCCTTTCCCTATGATTGAGTTTGTCCCAGTTTCTGTGAGGGAGACAGAGGAAACTTCTAATTTATGACTGGTCCTCCTGTGAAGTGTGTACAGAGAATTATGAAAGCACAGAGGTGATCAACTGGAACAGAGTTGCAGCACTGAGTCAAGTGTGTTGGATCACCAAAACCTATTAATGGTCCAGGAGAGAGAAATTTAAAGCTTTGGCTTAGAATCAGACATACTTGATTTCAAGTCCCCCAGTTCCATGATGTAATTTTGTAACTTTAGACTAATCTTCCAAAGACTTAGCTTCCATATTTTTAAAAATGAGGAAAATAAAACCTATCAGATGGAGTTACTATAAGAATAGAATGAGAGAAAATAATTTAAAATTGTTTAAGCTCAGGACATAATGTACATTCAATGAATATTGCTTGTTACTAGTATTACAACTGTTATTATTTAAGGAGACACAGAGGATGACTAGAAGAGTCTGGGAAGGCTTCACAGCAGAGATGCCATTTGATCTGAGTGCCCAGATTGTTATTCACGAATGAAAGGGGAGAGAAGAGTATTCCAGGTAGAGAGGCAACATATGCAAAAAGACACATGGAGATCAGAAATTGGATGAAGGGAGACTATTGTCATTTCGTTTGATAAATTAGGAAGTCACTTGCAGGAGAGGAAGCCAGTTAAAGAACTATTCAGCATTGGTTACTAGATAAGAATCATACAAGAGTGCCCATATAATTTATTATCTAAATTGGAGCAGTTTTATAAGTGAATGGAGATGCCATTAGTCATTTTGTTGGGACAGTAGGCATAAACCAATACTGTCTAGGTAAATGAGGACACATGGTACCCCTAGATGTAGGAGAGAGTGAAGACTCAGGAGTGACTCTTCAAGTTCAGACACCTGGATTCATAGCAGAACAAAACATGGAATATACATGGGGATGTTTGAAGAGGGATTAATGAATTTGATTTTGGTAAGCAATCAAGCTAAGAAAAATTCATTGACGGAAACTGCACTGGCCTTATGAGAGGAGAATGGAAAGAGGAACCAGGTTTTTACCCTAAACAGTAGATTGAATTTGAAATTGTCCTGCTTTCTAAGTTTCAAAATGATCTATGGAATAACTTTTGCAAATTTTATATCTCAAGTATATAAAAAATATACATATGTGTATACGGGTAATGATTCAGATGATCACACACAGCACATGCACGGAGGCATGTGGATGGACATCATGAGTACTGGAAGACTTGCTGCGGTCTCCAATCTCTCAGATTTATATCCATGGGCCAGAATGTTAAGTCCTTTAAACCCCTATTTTTTCATGTAAAGTGAGGGATCATACTAGGTAATCTCAGGGTTTTAGCTTTTAAATATTAAAATGGTAAAGAAGGGGAAGTTTTTGTTACTTTCAGCATCAGAATTTCTCAGCTCTATCTCTGTTGTTGATAGCAATAAGGTAAAAGTAACATTTCTTTAGTAAGTCATTATGGGACCCTGTAGGGTGAAAGTACATGATACTATATAGGCAAAGCTTCCAAAATTGTCGACCTCCAAAGGGATGGGATGGTGTATCAAAATTACTTAATTTTTAAAATGAACTATGTGCCTTTCTTCCTCTCCCTACTCCCTTTTTTCCCTTTCTTTTGTTTTAAGAATTACTCTTACACAGTATGGGAGAATATATTCATAAATGACATATCCGATTAGGGGTTGACATCCAAATTATATAAAGAGCTCATGCACCTCAACAAACAAAAAGCAAATAAGCCAATTAGAAAATGGGCAGAGGAGCTGAATAGACACTTCTCCAAAGAAGAAATTCAGATGGCCAACAGACACATGAAAAGATGCTCCACATTGCTAATCATCAGAGAAATGCAAATTAAAACCACAATGAAATATCACCTCACACCAGTTAGGATGGCCAACATCCAAAAGACAAACAACAACCAATGTTGTCAAGTATGTGGAGAAAGGGGAACCCTCCTACACTGCTGGTGGAAATGTAAACTAGTTCAACCATTGTGGAAATCAGTATGGAGATTCCTCAAAAAACTCAAAATAGAATAGATGTTAACCCCTTGTCGGATATGTCATGTACAAAGTCACTACTTGTCTTCTCTGTGCTATACTGCCTTCCCTGTGCCCCTGCCCTACATT